CCATGCGGCGCGATGGTCCCTGACAGGACGGCAGCTTAAGTGCCTGCATGTTATTTTTATCATGTTATAGTAGTATATGTTACTTTGCCTTCACTAAACCTCCAGGTCAGCATGACAGGTTCTTTTGTAACAACAATCTCCCACCCACCAATATTCACATTCTGTATGAACCATGCTGCTCTGTTCATCCATTGGAGACAGTCAAAACCTTGTGTTGGCTCCATAAAGGTTGCTGTTGGAACTTAAAAAGAGTTCCCCTATGGAAGGATTTTGGATTTACCAAAACATTGTAAAATGGGGACCTACCTAATCTATGCAATCAGTATGTAACCAACAGGCAGGCACTTGCACTACGTAGATGTTGGTAGATTTCAAGGAAACTGTACAATCTGTTACGTGTATGGTGAGCTTAATACTACTTTTTGGAAGAAAGAAGAAGATGTCTCATGCTTCTCTATACGCAAAACGGCCGACTGGTTTCCAAGGACTCTAAAGAAGTGGCGGAGGGGTAAGAATCAGTGGATGGGGTCTTGTTCTTTAAAGCGGTTCAAAAGGCAGAAGGTTTTTGCTTTAATGTATTCTATGTATTAAGGTGAAAAACCTTCTGGGTGCAGTACCCACCTCAGACCCTCATACTCAGCCTCTTATACTCACCTGTGCCCCATCCTGATCCAGCGATATAAATGAGAGTCGTGGCACTCCCGGGTTTCTCCCTCCTCATTGACTCACACAGCAGCGGATCACTGCCAGTGATCCAATGAGAGAAGAGCAGGGGGCGTGGCCAAGCCACAATTTCTGTGAGGAGTGCAGCTCGGGAGTGAGCTTGCTCGAGTGCGCCCATAGGCTTGCTATTGGGGGGCACTCGACAGGGGAGAGGAGCCAGGACCACCAGTGGGGGACCCAAAAAGCAGAGGATCGGGCTGCTCAGTGCAAAACCATTTTTTTTTAATTACAAACTTGGCTCACACAGCAACGGATCACTGCCAGTGATCCAATGAGGGAAGAACAGGGGGCAGGGGGCGTGGCTAAGCCACAATTTCTGTGAGGAGTGCAGCTCGGGAGTGAGCTTGCTTGAGTGCGCCCATAGGCTTGCTATTGGGGGGCACTCGACAGGGGAGAGGAGCCAGGACCACCAGTGGGGGACCCAAAAAGCAGAGGATCGGGCTGCTCAGTGCAAAACCATTTTTTTTTTAATTACAAACTTTAGAATCACTGTAAAGAGAACCTGTCATTTGTTCTTAAGGATGAAAGTTTCCTTATGGTGTTGACAATTTTATTTTTAATTACTATAAAAATATGTTGGTACTATATTAATTAGTGCTGAGCAGGTTGAGACCTGGACACTTAGCCCTGTAAAGGGCCTAATATACAAAGCTTTGCACATGCACCTGCAATTAGAGGAATGAGACATCAAAATTATTTTTCTGCAGAAAAAAAGGATTCCAAGTTTTTTTGCTTTGCAGTTATGTGTCTGTTTTAGTTATAAATGATTTTTATTGCAGTACATTAAACGCTTAGGGTCCCTCGATTGAGTATATAGTCAATATGGTTTACTAGTACGCCTGGTGTATATGCTAAAGACACAGGGCCAGCAGTGTCTCCTGTGACAAATGCAGAGAGAGTGTGTGCCGTTAGTTGACAGCCCAGACTTTTAGTGTCACACATTTGCTCAGTAAACAGGCACTCATTGCAAGATTGTGCCACAGCTGGAGAGATGGCACCATGCCATGGTAATATAGGGCATCTGTTTGACTGCACTGCAAAGCCCCGCTCACAGCTTAATAAATTGCTTACTGATTTGTTCTGTTCTGGAAAGTCGTATCTACTTATTTCACCTTGCATATATATATATGTTTTCTTTTTAAATATATTGTTTATGAAATTCTAAATTCCAGCAACATAACCTGACAATCCTATCATTTTCCACTGTGTGCCAATGTAGCTATTGCTGTGACAAGTCTGCATTTCCCAATCTGGTAGCGTATTGGAAAGCACTGACCAGTAAAAAAATGAGGTGAATATTGAGACCTCAGTCATCGAAGGGTTCAGGCATGCTGGGAGATTTCTGCTGTCCAAACTTGCAGTGTTTTCAGAAGGGAGAATTATTGCAGAGAAAAGCCAATTATCCGGTCTTTCATGGTTATTGATGAAAGATATGCACAGCTTTGCAAATGTGCACTCATTAAATTTTGTAATATCATTTGAAATGTGGCAGGGTGTAAGATAATCTGCAGGGGGTAGGGATTTTGTTTTGGCGATAACTAGTAAAATAATGTAAATTAAGCTTGACACAAACCTGAGTGTTAAATGAAAAAAAAATATATATACAAAAGTCGAACATGGCCCTACCGCCTCCAGCTTTCCAAACCTCCTTTTTTTGCTCCTTAAGTGTGATGGGGAGCCCCTCTAAGCAATAGGGAGGTTAGGAGAAGGGAAAGGACAGGGCTATGCACATCTTTTTAGGAAAAGATGAGATCTGCTGCAGGTCCCTAAAGCTGACCTGTCATACATTTGATCAACTTTTTAGTATTTCCGAAAATAGTGACAGATTTTCTTTAAAGATTTCCTTGGGTTTGGTCATAATTTTGGTTTGGACTGAAATCTAAAAGAAACTTCCACCCACTGCTGCCCAGTCAACTTTGGACAGGGTATTCCCTGCTGCCCAGCTGTATGTACATAATTGGGTAGGGATGGGCGTGACATTGTTGACCTGGTATGGCCACATGGTCATATCAAGCCAATATCATTGACCTGATATGGCCATGTGAGCATATTAGGTCAATGATCCAACAAGCATCTCTTCTCCTTTGTATACATGCAGCTGTGGGCTATGTATTTACCACAAGGCATTTGCTTAGGGTGGCATTTTTCGGGGGGGGGGGGGGGGGCAGCATTGCTCCTTGGAAGAAGGGGCAGAAGAAGGGACACACGTGGCTTGGGGACCTGGTGGGTTTCAAGAGATGTTGTGGGTTTTATGACGGTATATGTACAGCCCGACTCTCATTCCCGGGGATATCCAGAGCTGTGAAGGTGAGTGTCTTTCTCTCTCTCGCCATGGGGGATGGTGGCTGGTGTATGGGGGACAGTGGTAGTGGAAGGCTAGGATGGAGAGCAGGAGTTCTCTTGGTCAATGTCAGGCTCTTTCTGCAGGGAGGGGGGGGGGGGGCGCCAATTTGTGTGTTGCCTAGGGCAGCACAAAACCTAAATACAACACTTGTCTGTGGGGCAGATCTGGAACAACAGTTCATTGAGCAGAACTGGGCTGTAGTGACATTTTCCTTGCAAGGTTGGGTTTGGACCATACCTGGGCTCGTCCTTAATTGACAGGTGACTGCCATATTTCAGCAATAATAATTTTAATCCAGAGATGTCAATGAAAATGACCATGCCCTTGCTCCTATTACCATTTTGCACACCTATGCATTTTACTATCAAATGGTAAAATTCTAAAATAGTATTTCTTTTTAAACTAACTTTGTCTAAGCAGCTCAGTATTTGAAATTAGGAGTTTCTTCTTGTGCAAATCAATTTTGCCAAGATGTGTAGAAGATCCGTAGAAGATGTAGCCAAGGAGTTGATAGAGGCATTTCTCAGATTCACACTGGCAGACAATTCTGTTTGGTCAATTGCAAACACCACCCGTCTGTGGTACGATACTATTGTAGACTAAAAGATCACAAACAACTTCTCTTTTAAATAAGAAAGGCATTTTTGTAGTAGTGCGCGCAATTTTATCATTCAAATGATGCAAAGAATTTTACATGAAAACGTATCATAGCAATTAGGCAAACAGAATCTTATCCCACTAACATTCAAGTTTAAACCTTGTACCTGCAAGAGAAAGACAATTCCGCTGTATCTCACATATCAGTTTAATAGCTGTAAAACTTGTTCATACTCTGTACCTGTTTTGTAGCATTGTCTCCTTTATTGATTATATATATATAGGCCGTGAGGCTGCAGGTAGATACTTTTAAAGGGATAGTCCACCTAGTACTGACATTTTGATCCAGAAAGCTGAACCTCCTTCTGGTTTTCATATAAGGAAACATTTATGAGAAATCTGACAGGGAAAGTGAGACCCCTTTGTAAAGGTCACGGTAAATGGATAGAACTGGGAACTCCATTCAGTGATTTGTCCAGCAGAATCTCAAGAGATACTTGAAGCTGGTGGGTGATTTAATCCACTGACATCTATCCAAGAGTTTTGGTTGGATTGACCTTTTAATATCATTAAAAGCTGAACTCAAAGTAGGTCCTGAAATGGCTCAATGTGCTATAATAATGATGGTCAGTTCAGCCTTTCTGATCTTTGGAAATTGCATCCACAATAAAATGTTAAAAACAGCATTTAATGCAGCTGTGTGTTCATTTAAAACTCAGTGAAATGCATTTTTATATGTTGTTAGCATATGTTCCTGAATCTGTCTCCATCATTTCTGTCTCTCATCAGCCTCTGTCATCCCCTACATAGCAGCTCTTAGACTGAAAGAGGGCAGGGCAATACTACAAGCCAATCAGGCTGTGTTGCTTGCAAAGATGCCAACAGGCAACATGCTAACAGGAGGAGAGCAGAGTGAGCAGAGTAAATGATGAATCATTAAGGGGGATTTACTAAAAAGGTGCACTCAGAATCTGGTGCAGCTGTGCATAGTAACCAATCAGCTTCTAGGTTTTATTGTCAAAGCTTAATTAAACAAGCTGAAGTTAGAAGACTATTGGCTACCATGCACAGCTGTATCAGATTCTGAATGTTTCCAGTTTTAGTAAATCTCCCCCGCTGTGGTTTTACTCTATTGTTTAACCATTTCACAACCGCACTATAGCCGAATGATGGCTACACCGCAGTAGTCCAGTTCTGGGAGGACATCATATGATGTCCTCCCAAAACGCGCCCCCAATAGAGCGCACCCAGCGTTGTCAGTGATCGCTGTGTCTTATGGACACAGCTGATCACATGACAAGGTAAAAGGCCAATCACAGAGGCCTTTTACCATGTGAGCAGCTGCGTCCAATGACACAGCAGATCACAAAGTAAATACAGTTGCCAGTTATCGGCAACACTTTCCTCAGGCTGTCACAGCATGAGGAAACTATTGCCGATAACCAGCAAGTGTCACAGCAGATCTGCACTGATCATCAGGGCACTGATGAACAGTGCCCTGATCACCAGTGCCGCCCATCAATGCCCAGCAGTGCCGCTCAGCAGTTGCGCCCAGCAGTGCCGACAGTCAATGCTGTCAGTGCTGACAATCAGTGCCCATAAGTGCTGCCTATCAGTGCCCATCAGTGCCACCTGTCAGTGCCCATCATTGCTGCATATCAGTGCAGCATCATTAGTGCCTCCTCATCAATGCCCACCAGTGCCTCCTCATCAGTGCCACCTCATCAGTGCAGCTTATCGGTGCCCATCAGTGCTGCCTATTCGTGCCACCTTATCAGTGCCCATCAATGCTGCCTATCTGTGCCCATCAGTGCTGCCTATTCATTCCACCTTATCAGTGCCCATCAGTGCTGCCTATCCATGCCACCTTATCAGTGCCCATCAGTGCTGCCTATCCGTGCCACCTTATCAGTGCCAATCAGTGCTGCCTATCCATGCCACCTTATCAGTGCCCATCAGTGCTGCCTATCCGTGCCACCTTATCAGTGCCCATCAGTGCTGCCTATCCGTGCCACTTTATCAGTGCCCATCAGTGCAGCCTCATCAACACACATCGGTGTAGGAGGAAAATTACCTGTTTGCTAAATTTAGTAATAGAAACAAAGAAAAACCTTTTTTTCAAATTTTTTGTTTATAATGCAAAAAATAAAACCCCCTGTGGCAATTAAAAACCACCAAAAGAAAGCTCTATTTGTGTGAAAAAAATAAACATTTCATATGGGTACAATGTTGCATGACCATGCAATTATCATTCAAAGTTCAACAGTGCTGAATGCTGAAAATTGGCCTGGGCACAAAGGGGGTATAAGTGCCTGGCAGACAAGTGGTTAATCACCAGGCTGGAGATGGGGTGGGGGCGCCACTGAATTCTTTAAATCTAGTAGAAAAAGTGGTGTTACCTGTATAGCTTTGTGTCTGGCAGAGGTGTAAGAATAACAAGTGTCTGGACAGAATTACAAATCTTTTGCTGGATAAGACAGTTCACAGTTCACATGTCTATTTCAATCATATCTTTAGTGTTTTTGCACGTGACTGTATGTTAAGTGTATGTCTGTTTCAGAGTAAAACATGCTTGTTGTGCCCAGGAACCACAGCTGCAACATATTTGTACCCATTGAGATGCATTATTGAAAGCACTGTGCATAGCTATGCATACAAAACCGTCAGGACATACACTGACATGCGCACACGTACGGGCACATTTTTCAAAGTGTATAGTTTTGATGGTGGTTATGTGTGTATAGCCAGGTATTGTGTTTTCTGTAATCATCTCAATGGATAATAACACACTTAGTGTTGGTTCCTATGCACCATAACAACAAACCGATTTTACTCTGTAGGCCTAATATACAAATGTGTGCAAAAGCCCTTAGTAGTTTTCCTTGAGTTCAAATCCAGTACATATTCTTCATTTCTAGACCAAGATGTTATCTAGTGTGTGTGTAATCATTATCTGACTTCTGATATGGTATTATATCCAATTCTGTGATATTCCACTTGGGTTAAAGTCATTGCTGAATAAGAGGATGATGTATAATATTTGCAAATATGTATGTAGAAGTTTCTATCCAGCAGCATTTGAAAATTTGAACTTGGTTAGTTGTATTGTCTATCCTGCATTGTGACTCCCAATACAAACAGAACTGTAATAATCACTGCTTTACTTTGTCAACATTATGGAAAAAGTACATGTTTGTAATGATCATTACTGATTCTTCCAACATGTTGTCTGTGATCTTCCAAAGAGTCAGTGTATCCATATCTGACTTGTAAGTTATGGGTGGTTGCATTTTACTGTCAGTTAGGTCTTTGAAAACAGGGTTCTGGGTTGACTTACCTTTCTCAGCATTCTATGCATTCTAAAAGGAAGGGGACTCTTTCTCTGGCAAGAAAAGTGAGACTCTATGGTGAATATGGCCAGGGCCAGGAACTCCTATAGGAAGTTGTACTCCTGTGACCTACTTTCAGCGGACAGCAGGAACAGAGCCACTCAAGGCTGGGGAAGCCCACATGGAAGAAAAATACATTTGAAATATAATTTAAAAATATTCTTCCCAAATATATTGACATATATTTGAAATGCTACAATTTTGGCCATATTCAATATATATATATATATATATATATATATATATATATAAAAATGTATGTATATATATTGCATGTTGAAATTACATATCATTTTTTTTTACCAAATCTATGAAAAATATTTTTAAAAGTACATTTCAAATATACTGTATGGCTTTAAAAATACAAATCTTCCTTTTAGGAATGCATTTACAAATATATGTAAAAATATATGTTAAAATGACTTTTTTATATGTTTAAAAAAGATCTGAAAAATATACAAAATATATGAAAAATATTTAAAAAAAATATAATTTTTTAAATATAGTCTTCTGATTTTCTTTAACATATAAAAAATTAATTTTAACATATATTTTTACATATATTTGTAAATGCATCCCAAAAATGTAGATTTGTATCTTTATAGACATACAGTATATTTGAAATGTATTTTTAAAAATATTTTTCATATAATTTGTAATAAAACCACATTTCAACATGCAGTATGTGTATATATATATATATATATATATATATATATATATATATATATATATTGAATATAGCCAAAATTGTAGCATTTCAAATATATGTCAATATATTTGGTTAGAATATTTTTTAAATATATTTCAAATATATTTTTCTTCCATGTGGGAAGATGGTGAAGATATGATTGGGATAAACCCAGAAGTCTGGACAGGCACTTGGCACAACCTCTCAGCTGCGCTGCTGGGAGACTGAGCCAGCCGCTCCCTCCACTCAATAGCCTGGTACTCCAGTGAATGCTGGAGTGGCAAAGTAGAGAGTCGGTGACTGACAGTCATGGCTCCCTGCTCAGAGCAGAGGGGAGAACTGTGCGATAAGCTCAGTTAGCACTGTAGAGCCGGCGAGAGATAGATGCAGCATTAGATCAATGCTGCATCCACCTAGTTGAGTATGAACATTTGGGGGGTTTTTTATTTGAAGTTCATACTTCTCTTTTACAGTAATTGTAAACCCTCACCTTCTAAAACAACCAATTCAGTTTTGAACTGAGATGCAAAACATTTGTGTATAGCTATAAAAAACATAAATACCTTTTTTACTCTCTGTTCTCAGCTGCATAAGAGCAAGGGGAGGAGAAACAGCAGCACAGCTGTGCAGGGGGGGGGGGGGGAGTGTCAGCAGACGTCTGATCATTGGAGGAAAAAAGGCTGAGTTTCCAGCACAGGTAGAGAACTCACCTCGCTGTGCTTTCCTGCCTAGTGTGGTCAGTTTTTTGATAGGAAAGCAGAGGGACTGGCAGGAACACCAGGGATTTCAAACAAAGGAAGGAATACAAAGATAACAGGATACAAGTACATGGTACAGCAGGCACATATCAGGAATATGAAATGTTGGAGTTACATATTTTTTAAGTACAGCACTTGCAAGGCATTAGTCTAGTGATCACAGTAAAACAGAAAAATGAAAGTTCATATTTAACATACCCCCAGCATCCTCTATTCTGTAATAGCTGGTGATCCTGCCAAGTAAATAGTTTTCTTTTAGGATAGTGACAATGCTAAATGCCTTGCATTGAATTCACTTGTCATGCTGCGCTGCTGTGTACTTACAAATGATGAGAAGGAGTGTCATCAGCCTTGTCACTTCTAGCAATGCTCCTTCCTTCCAATCTGCACAGAATACATGATCCAAAGGGAGCCTTGCACCTGAAGGAAGTGACACAGGGTGCCCTTTTGGGTCCAGTTTCCTTGTTTATAGACTATAGACCCCAGTAGCTCAAGTGATGATGTCACTTGGGCGGAAGTTAAAAAACACACACCAGGAACACACATCTGAAAAGGAGGGCTGATGTATTGCATAAAAAAACACAGAAAGGACTGTCTTAAGGATAAAATTCGGCACACAGACCCTTGCAGATAAAACTCCATGCATCATGCTGTGTGGGGGGTGTGGCTTAGTCCTCTAACACCTGAATTTGGAAGCTTTAATTAAAATATGTCTTATCTACATCATGCTATGGCGTGCAGGAAAATAGAAAACAAATACATTTGCCAGATAGACCTTCATGTTTTGTACTGGCAGTATAACATTTTTACAATAAAAGTAGTATAATGCTTCAAACCAATTCCTTCTTCCTTAGCTAACAAGAACTAATACCAGGACTGTGACATGTAATTACAAACCAGTGACACTGGATGTATGTACTAGGTGTAGGTTAACTACTTGTGAGATGATGGCACTTTATTACATTATTGACACATTCAATTATTGCCCTTGCAGAAAATAGAGGAGGAGAATGAAGAGAACCTGCTAGCAGTTCTTACAGAAACACTGGACAGCCTCCCTGTGGACGAGGATGGATTGCCTTCCTTCGACGCACTGACAGATGGAGATGTGGCCAGTGAACATGATCCGAGCCTTTCCTCCCTGCCTGACGGCACCCCTCCAACACAGGAGGCAGAAGAGCCGTCACTAGTAAGAACCCTTCCTACTGTTTAACAGGAATTGGATGTGCTTCTGGCTACCCGCTGCATGGGTATGATGTAGTCAAAATAAGGTTTGGACTTTAATATTAGGTAGAAAAAAAAACAGCTGTACTGAAAATTAAATGCTGAAATCAGAGGAGCCACTGTTGATCTTGAAAGTGCGTGGGTGCGTTTATTTAAGGACACTTATTTTTAACATCCGTTATTGATTGGTAATGGGATCTTGGGCCCATAATCAATACTATCCGTTTCAATACTTTTAAGGCAAGAGTGCTTTATTGACCAGTGTAAGCTGGCTTTATACATACATGTATGTAGGCTTATTGCAGCTTTTCTTGTAACTAGAGATGTTTTCTCTGAGCTCTGTCAGGAGAACGAATGTCAAACCAAACCATTTGGAAAGAAAGGAAATAAGATCATTAAATAGTGCACACGGTCATTTTAATTTATCTGTATCATGTGAAAAAAATCATTTCCCACCTTTCGTTAAGCTAAAAGTCTTTGGAGCTTCTTGTGGCTCTCAGGCATATGGAAGGTTGCTTGAGCTAACCTATCAGCATGGTGGCCATTATCTGTCTGCTAAACGCTATTGCATTTTACATTTCTACATGAAATTCAGCCAAGAAAATATTGTCTAATTTTAAGTGCAATTCTACCATTAAATGTAGATAGTTCATGACTTCCTTCGCCTGGACTCTTACTCTGTTGTGATCTGAAGTCCCTGGTTCCTGTCTATTGAGGGCATTCTCTATATAGTCTCACAAAGATTCCTTTAGGGGCTTGGTGACAACATCATTATCATGCCATATGCCACTTTAGGATTTCTCTATGGGAATGTAAAGAGAATTCCTTCCAGAGAGGAGTTGGAAAATTCAGCCCACAGAGCCCTGGATTTCACTGTCATGATAGGTCAAGATCTCCCTACAAGGTTTCTGGAAAACATTAAAGAAACAGTGGAGAGTCAGATCTCACCTCCCTATCCAGTTCTTCAAAAGTTTTAATTAGATTTTGACTTACTATTGTTATTATCAAAAACTTTTTTTAAATGCTTCCAAATTTTCTTTATTATTGAAAATGCAATGTGCCCAAAACATTTTTTGCCACATTGATCGCCATCTTTGTGCTTTGCACGTCTTTACTTCTTGGTGGGTCTCAAAGCCACGCTTTATATGTGAACATGGCACGCAAGAAGACCAATGCAAGACATCCCTTTTCTAGCTAGGAAACGCAGGGCAAAACTTACATTTATACTGTGGGGATTGTTTACTAAATCCGGAGAGTTCAAAATCTGGTGCAGCTCTGCATAGAAATCAGTCAGCTTCCAGGTTTTATTGTCAAAGCTTAACTGAACAAGCTGGAGGTAGATGTGGATTGGCTACCATGTACAGCTGCACCATATTCTGAGTGCACCAGTTTTAGTAAATCTACCCCTATCTGTCAAGTTCTATGCGGGTGGTGCGGCTGCATAGATTTTCGTGCGGATCCGCAGCGGCACCACCCGCACAGATGTGAACCTAGGGTAAGTGTAGGCTTGGAACTACCGTAGAGGAAAAATAATATATTTTATGTAACATTAAAATATAACTAAAAACCATAAAAAGGTGTTGCATTCTAATATAAAGTCCTACATAAATGTTTACTGCCTGTGGTCTAGTCAATGAGGTATTGGCAGGGTTAGATAATAGCACAGTTGTCCGTGGGACACAGAGATACAGGCAGCCTCATGGACCCTGTAGCAAACTATTGCTAGGGTTGGGAAATTTTTCTCCAGCAACCCTTTGTTCATACATTTATAGGGTATGAGCATGCAAAAACCAATGAATGTCTTGTAGGCAAAAGATGTTTTGGCGGTCACATATTTTGACCTCTTTTTTCCGTTGTATAGCCCCGCTAATTAACCACAGGTCCCAGCATGCTCCGTTAACCAGCAGCTGCTCAGGAGTCAGCAGTAACAACAGTTAAACAGCTAGAAATCGGCAGGCTTCGTTTCTCTGATTGTCCATTACAGCAGAGCTTTTTGTCTTGCAGTAAAAGCCAACCATGTAATGATCACTGTGTTATAACGAGCTCTTGTAACCGTGTTTATGCGGCGTTGATTGCATTACTTTCCGCACATAAAAGTATACTCCTATGATCTCTCATGACTAATTTTAACTAACAGTGCCATATCTTAAGACACATAATTGCAATCCTGGCTAGTATGTAATATCTCTTTTCTCATCTTATTTTTTTTTTTTTAGCTTAAGAAGCTCTTACTGGCTCCAGCGAACACTCAGCTGATTTATAATGAATGTGTCGGACTCAGTGCACACAACCATGCAAGCCCTAATCAGAGGATCAGAACAAGCTCTGCACCTGTTAAGGTACAAGCCTCTTTCCTTTGATCCTGCTGAAATAAAATGGAATAACAATAAATGAAAGGTATAGTGATGTACACGGATAGCTCTATAACATTACAAATGTTGCATAGTTTGCTAGTCTGTTTTATGGAAAATCTCATGTAGGGATGAAAAAAGTTTGAAGACCCCTGGGAAAAAATTCATGGCCTCCCTTCCATTTTGATTAGACACCTCTACTATTATTGCCACTGCTGGGTTGTCCTTCTCTAATGCTGAGAGCAGTCAGTAATCTGTGTCAGTTTGGACACTTTGAAAATATAAAGGCTCAGGTTGCTAAGTTTATTCTAGATATTGCTGGCTACTGCTACTGCACAGAATGGTATATGTTAGTCCGCAGTCAAATCTGCCTACTACTTTTTTTAAAGGTTAAGAACACCATCCAGGAAACACTCTTGGTTCTGACCCAACAGGTTCCTTTTAAGAAATAAGTGGACATTAGGCAAAGACGGAAATGACTGGCCCAAAGGGCATTTGTATCTCGGAAAGGTGTACAGAGCTTCTCAAAGAGTACCATAAAAGATGGTCTGTGAGGTTGTTATACTTTAAAATTTGGAGAAAAGTTGTTAGCCAGTTAGGAATATGTTAGAATAAATATTGGGAAAGGAGTGACTGTCCTCTTCAAAATCAAATCAAGGGCCTACAGGACTTGGATATGCTAAGCACTCTAGTGATCAAGCTTCATATCGAGCTCATTGTGAGATCAAATTTTATGCTGGTAGTTGTTTGCTTTAAAAATTGGCTGTTAGTTCGTGGGAGGTGATGACAGTTGCTGGGGCTACCCTGTTTTTGAAATCATCATATTTTATAAGGGCCTAGACTCTTTTTTTTTTGCAGGAACTGGAGGTGTCTTCCAGGCACTACGTGCGATTTTCTGATATTTATGACTTGTGCATATTGCTGTTCTCCCTGTCAGGTTACATTTGTAATTCAGGCAGAGCAATAAAACCCTTCAATATACAGTAGTTGAGAAGTTGTTGAAAACGGATAAGTTATCTTATCTGTTATCTGTGTCATCTGGTAATCACTAGACAGTTATGTGTTTGGAGATTTAAAATTGTTTTAAAGGCAGTAGGTTTTTTCCTCAATGCACTCTCTGCATCAGGGTAAAATACCTTCTATATGCAGCACCTCACCAGACCTCCCCCCCCCCATCCCCACCCTTTTATAATTACCTGAGCCCGATCACGATCGACTGCTGTGTCCGAGACCAGCTGCTCTCTCAGCTCTCTCTCTCTCTCACTGAACAGAGAGACAGCAGTGGGAGCCATTGGCTACTGCTGCTGTCAAACACAGCCAAACAGTGGGGCCAAGCCATGCTCTGTTTGTCATTGGACACAAAGAACATGGCTCAGGATGAAGTACAAACATGTGCCCTCATAGCAAGTGGTTTTCTATGGGGACAATCTAAAGGGGGGGAGGCAGGAGAGCCAGCGGGGAACTTGAAAAGAGGAAGTTCGTGACTGCTATGTGCAAAACCAGAGCACAGAGCAGGTGAGTATAACATGTTTGCTATTATTATTTTTTTTTTAATTTTTAGGTTTACAATCACTTTAATTATTGATTAGTGTTTGTGGCCTTCTTGGGTAGGCTTATAGATTTTATTTATCTGTATGATACTGCAGCACTTTGTAGAGTACATAGGCCCATTGCTATCAGTGCCTATATATTTACAATCTAGTGTATCTACCACATGATCTAGGGCCAGTTCCTATGCTGGCAAATTTTTAGATTATGAGATGACACAGAGTTACCCAGACGAAGCTCACACACAGAGTTTTTGCACATAGTACTGATGTATGAACATTAGATATTTCTGCTAGAATGTTCCTGAGTAAAAACTAGAGGATTGACTGTATAGTACATGCGTATAAGCAGGAGTGCACACTCAAAAATTATTTTAAAATCATGAAGGTGTGATGTAAGATACTGGCCAGAAATGCAGATTTTTTTATTTTTTTTTAACCACATGCCGCCCCGCCACTGTAGAAATACAACGGCAGGGCTGGGCAAAACCACGTTTTAAAACGTGTGTTTTCAAAACAGGTAGAGGGCGCGCGCGAGGCGCGCCCCTGCCCTATCTGTCCCACCAATCACGGCCGCGGATGTCAGTCGCCGGGTCACAGCCGGTCGTTCCTGGCTATGTCCCGGCGATTAGCGGCAATCAGTGACAGAGAGCACAGCTGCAGTAGCTGTGCTTTCTGTCAGTTCCCTGACAGCTCCTGACAGGCTGATCGGGAGAGAGGAGTTTATCTCTCCCGATCAGCGGTGTCCCCTGTGCAGTTATCACCCCCGCCCCCTAGTAAAACACTCCCCTCACACAGTTTACCCTTTCACTGAATAATAAAGTTAACCCCTTCCTCCCCAGTGCCATTAGTACAGTGTCAGTGTTTTTTTTTTTTGCACTGATCACTGTATTGGTGTCACTGGGGATGTCAGTGACCCCAAGTCAGTTCCCCCCCAGTGTCAGAATGTCCGCTGCAGTCCCACCATAAGTTGCTGATCGCCGCCATAAGTCACTGATCGCCGCCATAAGTTGCTGATCGCCGCCATTATTAGTATAAAAAAAATTAAAAATCCCAGTATCTTTCCCGCCATTTGTAAACGCTATAACTTTCACGTAAACCAATTAATTTACACGTATTGGGTTTTTTTTTTTTAGCAAAGACATGTCGCAGAATGCATTTTGGCAGAAATTCATGATTAAATTTGATTTTTACATTTTTTTTTTTACTGGACATGTTTTATAGCAAAAAGTCCAAAATATTGTTTTTTTTCCTCAAAATTGTCTGCCTTTTTTTTTATAGCGCAAAAAATAAAAAACCGCACAGGCGATCAAATACCACCGAAAGAAAGCTCAATTTGTGGGAAAAAAAGGATGTAAATTTCATTTATGTACCGTATTGCATGACCGCGCAATTGTCCGTTAAACTAGCGCAGCGCTGTATAGCAAACAAATGGCGTAAATTGCAGTATCTATACCATAGTTTGTAGATGCTATAACTTTCACACAAAGCAATCAATATACACTTATTGGGATTTTTTTTTACCAAAAACATGTAGCAGAATACATTTTGGCCTAAATTTATAACTAACTTTGAGTTTACTATATATTTTTTATAGCTGATAGTAAAAAATATCGTTGTTCTTCAAAATTTTGGGTCTTTTTTTGTTTATAGCGTGAAAAATAAAGAGCACACAGGTGATCAAATACCACCGAAAGAAAGCTCTATTTGTGTGAAAAAAAGACGTAAATTTTTTTTGGGTGCAGCATTGCATGACCGCGCGATTATCAGTTGAATTAGTGCAGCGCCGAGTAGCAAAAAGAGGCCTGGTCATTAAGGGGGGTAAATCCTCAGGAGGGCAAGTGGTTAACTGATCTATACGCAGCGCTAGTTTACGCCCCTGTGTTTACAGGCTCATTTAAAAAAAATGGGCTGCATTTTGATCAGTAAAAAAAAATGCCTGTATACCCCAAAATTTGGTGTTTTTTGGTGTGCCTGTGCAAATGTCCAGAAACAGGGAGAACACACCTGGAGAGCATCCGGGAAGCCTAGTGTTGCATGGCTACAGTCCTAACTTTGAAGCCAGTGTGGTAACCAGAGATATGCTTGCTATCAGCTGACACTGATTGGTTACCTTGAAAATCACAAGCAGTTTTTGTTTCCTTCTGCAGAAAATGCCAGCAGGGATGGAGGATTTTGCTTTGATATATAGTTAGTTCTTTTTACTTACCATTAGCACATCCATGGCAAATTCGGTGCCGTTTAATTAATGTTCCCTTACTGTCCTCAATAGCTAAAAAATAAGTATTTTAAGAACACTTAGGAGGACTGTGAAATTCTGTTCTGTAGCACCAGGTAACAAATAAACATTAAGTGGATTCAATCCCGTACTTTATTAAAAAGAGACTGTAAAAACAAGATGCTCCTCTGTTTCTGAGGATAACATTGAGACAATGAAGGAATGAAATAAAATTTTGTATACGCAGCATTTGGGAATTTTAAATGCAATTTTCTTGCCTTGTTCTGCAAACAATTATTCACAAATCATAGACCCAGTACAGTCATTGTGAGCACTTCACAGAATTAATAAAAGAGAAAAGACAAATTGTATTTTTTATCAGGGATTTTGTTCGCTAATTTCATCTTTTTTCTTTCCCTTCCCTCTCCACCATATTCTCTTTCTTTCTCTCTTTGTTTTTTTTTTTTTTGGTCTTGTCTACGCCATACTCTATTTCATTCTCTTCATTTCTTTTCATTTCTCTTCAACCCTCTTTGCCCCCTCTCTTTTTTCTCTATCGCTCTCTCTCTCTCCCTCGTTCTCTCTATCTTTTCCTTACATTGAAGAGCGAGAAACTGTTGGAGCAATAAACCCAGAAACATTTGTCAACCGCAGAAGCCACAGAGGCGCCCCTGCTCGGAGCTCCTTAAGTACCTGACTGCAAATGATGACTCTCCTCAGACCAAATCAACAGAGAGCAGGACGAATAACAGACTTGACAAATGCACCAAAAAGAAGCCCTGCTTGCATCCTCAGCCACATTTTCAAGGTAGTGCTGGGACTCGCAGCTGTGCTGAACTTGTATGGAATTTTAAGATCATATTAGTTCTTTAGCTGATACTATGGCAGATTTAACTATGTATGTCCTCATTGTATTCAGAGCTTCTGTTCCTTAGGTTTGGTTTACTAAATGAGTAGCGTATGTCTGCTCACCTTAGTGAATATAGTGACGCTGCATTCATATCAATCATCTGATTAGGCACATGAGAAAAAAAATCTTTTTTTTTTTTTAATCTCCTGTGCACATGATTGAGTATTCAAAGAATTCACAGCTTTACCATTCACTACTCCTTTAGTAAAACAACCCCAAAATGTACTTAGTAAATGAAATATTAGGGTGTGGTGCTGTTCTCAAGTTAAGTTAAAGCTGACACCTATCCAAAGTTGTGTGAACCTACAAAGCGCTATAAATTGATCCGATCCCTAGATCGTGAAGTCTTAATAAACTACAGGACACCTTCCCCCTTTTCCTGCAATAGTCACATTAGGGTGTAAGTGGGACGAAAGGAAGGTAATCCTAGGGAATCCTGAAACATGTCAGCCTGGGTTCACACTGATACAGGGTGGAATTTGCAGTGGTTTCTATGCTAATTCTGCCCCGCATCACAATCACACCCCGTTCATGCAAACCGCTTGTGGGTGTGTATGTTAAGTTAACAACACCCCGAAATTGGTTCGCAAAACGTGGTGCAATATGCAGAATTGGATCACATGTTAATACCCATGCGATTCCAATTCTAGTGCGGACCAAAAAAAGGGTCCTGCGCCTTTTTGATGCGTTGCGATCTGAGCCATACAAAATGTATGGCTCAAATTGCATCACACAGAATTTGCATGTGATTTGCACAGCAATGCAGTACAGTTCCTGTGTGAATCACATTTGATGTGCCGCACTGCATCAGTGTGAGCCCAGACTCAGTGTTTGTGCATTGTTTCCCTTACCTGGATGGATTTGAAATAAAGAAGATTTTATGCACATGAAACCTCATTTTTGCTTGGACGTGTTTGGATGATGGAAGGAAACAAAGCTTCACTTCATTTACTAAGCTCTGTGGGATAATGGCCTTGCAAAGTGCAACTTCCCTGAACAGCCAATTTATCTTTTGTAAATCAGCTCCAGTCAGTCCAGTCTAGTATCCAGCTGTCAACTTTCAGAAACTCTGCCATTTACAAAAGTATAAAATGTTCAACAATGTCCTAGTTGCAATAGTTAATAGGATTTGGTCAGCTTAACATACAAATGAATAAAGAGATTGGGCAAGCGTAACAAGGGCATTCCATTAATTTGGGATCTTTTTTTTTTGGTTCAACAATGTAAAGATCCTTCATCACATATACATTGTTGACTGGATATATGCAAGTAGAATGGCAGCATGAGGGTCTGTACAATGTTAGAACTGCTCCCCCCCTACAAACCCAATGGGAAGGCAACAGAAGCTAGAAGCACCTGAATTCAGCTTACACCTGTGAAAGAATTTTCGATATAACTCAGAAGCATCTCAAACTGATCTAAATGAAAGCTGAGTGCACATGAAAGCATGCCGCATGTTCCCATCTACACAATCCCTTAGATACTTTGGGAAAATGCTCCCAATTGGGACAGTTTAAAACATTTTCTGACATTTCCTTTCCTCTCTTTGAAATAAGCTGACACTGCTTGTTCTGATCTACAGTACACTTGTTCAAAAGCAAGATGTGATGAAAAAAAGTGGATTTAAATATTTTTGGCTGGATAAAATGAACTTGTCCTGATAAAGTAAAGGCACTTCTCAGTATTAAGTATTACTATAATGCATGGTAGCACAGACAAATCATAGGTGTTGCCTTGGAATTCATTTATTAGGTACTCCATACTTGCAGCTCCTGTTCCCACCGGCTCTTTTCTTTGTTTGCCCAAATCCATCAGTGGGAAGCCATCTACACATCCAGGATCCCTTCCTGCTTCATAATACAGTACAATGTACTGCATCTGTCATAAGCCAGTCCCTTGCCATCACTGTAGGGCAAGCCCAAGAGACGCTTTGCTGTGAAGTGTCTGCAGTTTTGCCTTTTTAATGTCTGATGGCTCACTTTGCTGCATTACTATTCCTTATGTAACACCGAAAATATCCATTGCACTTTACGCTTATTTTTATTGCTAGCTTGCCTTCCTAATGGGTAATTTTCCACATGCTAATTCCAGAAGGGCTTTTGAATTTTTTTCTCTTGTGTACACGCACTCGTCTATAAATCAACTCTCTTTACTCCTACATGCAAAACAGGGCAATAAGCTGTTTCCTTAAATGGAAACTATTTACAAGATATATTTAGGGAGGCTGAATAAATGAATTGGGCTTTGCAGTTTAATATAAAGAAAGATTTCACTGAAATTTTTATTTTGTTCTTTCAGATTTCAAATTTGGGTGCTTTTGCAATCTGTACTTGAAAGGTTATATTTATAACACTAATTGCAATTCCGTTTGCAGAAATACATAAGGAAAACTAAGTTCACTTTTATCAATTACGTCAATTGCAATTTGCAAATGTAGGCTGATTTCTGCTTTACTGAATAAACGCGTTACCTGACTTATGAAAACAATAAAAAAAACTTCAAAAAGAAAAAAAAAAAAGTAGCACTTCTAGGTTTAAAAAAATACCTGGGAATGGCAATGTATAAAAGCATCATGCGAATCTTTATCCTCAGGCAGATGTACGAAAATGTCAGGAATCTCAACAAAAAACACAGAATATAAGACATAAGAGATTTGCATCAAATAATATATTCCTTATTGCAGCACAGAGATAAGAAAAGAATCCATATAAGGGAGTTTATTATTCAACAGCCTCTGCCACTTGTAATCTTTGTGCTGGAACAAAAGCTAAGTATTTTTAAAGCTTAACCCCGTGCTGCCCATACCAGGACATGCACTTGTCTGAGATCAGCAGCCAGCACACACCATAGACATTATTTATAGAAGTAATGGATTGCATTCTGGGTAGCCTGGGTTCCTACTTTATGGGAGGTATGAGTCTCAATTTGATACTTTCTATGTATGCCGTGATTTCATATGCAGCCTGTGTGGGACCATTATTTGTATTCATTATACTTCATCCTAACATGTTTATTCTAGTCTGCAAAAGCTTCAGAGCCCATAGTATAATATGTTCGACTGCTTCAGTGGCCATCAGAGCCGAGGCATCAGTGAATAACCATTAGTCTTGTTTAGTTTTATAACAAAAGGCTAGTATTTTTTAATCACTGGAGAGTTTAGCTGACTTGGTGAAAAAAAGATGTGCAAGAGAAGCGGAGGTTTGTGGGAAGTCAATTCATTGTCTAGCAGGCATTTTTTTTAGTTTTTATTGTAGGTTCCACAAAAAAAGTACAGTTTATAAACCTTAGCCATACAATAGAAAATAGTACATTTCTGATTTACAAATGTGGTGGGGACAAGCTTCTTGTCAAAAAGGAATATGTGATACAATAGAATATGAGTGACTTGTACAACCTCTGATATACTGTAGCATAAATTATTCAATTTGAGGTTACAAAAGTTCACCCCAAACTGATTTTTGGGTTGGGTCTGCTCCTGTGCCTTCGCTCCTTGGATTGAGAGTGGCCAGGTACAATAGAGAGTATATTCGTCTCTTCACTACCAGGACCTTGTAAAGGTGGGTGAAGGCCTGACACATTTTAAACATTAGAGAACTGTCATGACTTGTGGTTGTCCAGAATTAGGTGTTTTTGTGCCCAGTAGGCCCGTTGAATGCGGGCTGTGTGCACGCTTAACTTTCAGTGGGTCCAGGAGGCCTACAACAGCAGGTACCATAAGTGCACAGAGCTTTTGGAGTTAGGAAGGACCCAATTGTTCAGGTATGCCTTCCAGATGGAGGTTTTTCCTCCAGTTTTATAGATCCTTGATTTTGACTATCAAGGTGACTGACTGACTTGAAGCGTTTTAATTTTTTTAGGTAGGAGTTTGTGGTGTCATTAATTGCTCTTGCAGGCTGTGCCATGGCCTATGTCTTAGATTCAGTTGTAGAAAGCTTGTCTTGATGATCTCAAAGATGTTGAGAGATAAGCATTTGAATGGAGGACATGAGATGGGTTTAACATTTTCTGCTACTTCAGCTGTCAGTTGTTTGTAGTCAATTGGGAGCGGAGCACTGGGTCGCAGAGTGTAGGTAGAGTTATCCTCCTCCTTGGTGTCCAATAAGTTGGCTCACAGATAGTTTTTAGTGTTCATAATGTTTCACTTTTGTAGTTACTGTAGGGTTTTGAGACAAACTTCTATATAACAGGAAGGCTGAATCTGTACCTTATCACAATGTGCAACAAACACAATTGTATACAATGAAGAGCAGTCATGTTGTCTATATCATGTAGGCACATTTTTTCCTTTCATAGTGCAAAATGGAAAGCAGAAAAAAAAAATTGCTCAGGGCTACCAATCAGGTATTTTTCTTCCATCTTCTGAAAAAAGTTGGAAACTAATTGGTTGGCGAGCGCCCTGCCAGCAGGGCTGGAGGGTCCCGAACGGGGCTCCCATTTTGGCACTGAGCTCTTGAACGGGGTGGGGCCGGGCTAAAGCTCTCCAGAGGCCTAGACCTCTGAGCACGTGGGCGCTCCTGCCCCCCTGCCTCTGGTGACAAGCCTGGGTCCTGCAGCAGATCAGAGACCCGGCTCTGCAGCCAGTCCATCCCTCTGTCCGCTGCCGCCTCCCGCAGCCGTGCCAACAGTCCCTCCATGACAGCGCAACAGGTCCGCTGGAAAGGCAGTCAGTAGCAGGACAAGCTCTTTTCCCTCCTAACGTCCAGCTCCAACTGACGCCCCCTCAACAGAACCCCCCACCCTAAGGTGCAGCAGACCCCACCTACACTTTCAGCCTCTGCCAACCAGATCCCCCACTATCACATACCAACCCCCTGGAGCTAACTTTAACCCTTTCCGTTCCTCCTTCACCACTCTGGGCCTAGCCATGCATGCCCTGCGCTATTTTCTTTCTTTATTCCTGCTGCTACGGGCATTTCTTTCTTCTGACACAGTGGGAACAAAGAGAAAATTGACATTTAGGGATGCAGAAAATGGTCCCACTAAGCAATTGAGGCTATGGGGTGGATTTACAAAAGGCAAATAGGCAGTTTAAGGCCATTCCTTTGCTTTGAAAGGGAATTTAGTGACTGATGTGAAGCTCTGCTGACTTCCTTTATTCAATCATGTGCAATGCAAAAAACATTTTTAATCTTCCTTGCATGTGAGAGGATATTCTTTGCAAAGTAAATGTATACCACATTCACTAGCTAAGGGAAAATTCCCTTGCAAAGTGAGCAGCCTGTTTACCTGTTTAGAAAATCAACCCCTATGCCTATGAGCACATACATATGGGTGTATGTTTGCAACATTTATGTTTAGTCTCACAAAGTCATGTTTTAATGTGCTCCACGTTTAACCATTTTTACAGAAGAACCAACTCCAAGCAATAAATTAAATCAACTGTTCTATTTAGAAAATATTTTAGAAAGCCCACTTACCAAAATAGAGACCTCTACAGAGAAAATTATGTAGACTTTCATTGCTCACCCCCCAAAAAAAACTGATTGCATGAGAGCTAATAAAGGTTGATTATTACTGCTGTAACACTTCAGCTCTTTCTTTACTGGGTTATATACCTTAGTCTTTAAGCAAAGAGTTGTATGAATTATAAATTATGTAAATGAATGGGTGATGTAGAACATGGCAGCAAAGTACCCATGGTTGAGTTGTATTTATAGAGTTTTTTCTTTTTATTTCCAGCCAAGTCAACGAGTTTGTCACTTCCTTTGACACCCGAGTCACCAAAGTAAGTATTGAGCATCGGCAAGCTGTGTTGGCAAGGGATGGGTGTCTTCTCGTCTTGGCTACAATAGCTCCATTTCAGCTTGTTTTTATAAATATATGCGCTGTCTTCCAGTGACCCCAAGGGTTCCCCATTTGAGAGCAAGACTATTGAACGAACCTTAAGTGTGGAGCTCTCTGGAACAGCAGGTGAGAAGGATTCTTTTACCTTTGGCATTTATTTTCTACTGTTATAAAAACTCTTAAAAGACCTCCTGTAGTATTCATTTGCTTTTTAAAAAAAACAGTAGCAGTAATTTTAAATAATTAGTTACCCCAGCATTTCTTTTTCCTGATTTGTGCCTGTACGTATTTTAAAAATATCTTGTTCTCTTTGTATTACTTTGTGTGAAATACCTGGTGATCCTGCCATTCCCTTTGCCTTCCTATAACATACTGACCATGCTAGGCATAGAAGCATCTTTCCCAGTGTGGTGCATTTTTAGCTGTGGTGGGTGAACAGCCTGCCTTGTGCTGCCATACCCCCCTACACAGCCATTCACTGGAAAGATCGGTATTCTACTGTTTCTCCTACCCCACTTCTCTAAGCCCATTAGGCAGATGAGCACAGAAATGATGTGCTCACTTAGGCCCCGATCACACTTGAGTGATGCTACTGCATAGGAGTTTTGCATATTTTTTATCTTGTTTTTGGAATGGATTTTGTGCTGCTCCAAAAACATGCTAAAAGAAACTCATGTTCCAAATTCTGGACATGAGCCAAAGCACTTTGGTGCATTTTTCTTGTGGAAAATGTGCTGCAAAACACGCAACTGCCACCTGTGATTGGAGTACCTTTAAATAATAATAACACCACAAAGAAATTGCACGTTTTAGTGCGTTTTGCTGAAACGCTACTTTCTGCACATATTTCTGCTCAGCCCAAGTGTGAATGAGGCCTTAGAAAATCTGAAAGTCCTTTTTTTCTCTTTTTTTTATATTTTAAAGTGAATGGGTTTTGCAAGGTAAGGGTTCATGTATACTTTAATGAGATTGTCAGTTTTGGATCTCCCTTGCATTGAAGGGTTACGTCTGAATGATTTGTCTGTGAGGAGGGAAATAAACTTAAAGACTAACTCCACTTTTATATATAAAAAAAAAAAAAGTTGCAGCATACAAGTTGAATAACTGCTCCACAAATAATTATAACTTAAAGTGGAAGTCCAGCTGGGTTCAGAAAAACACCCGTTATTATCCAGTTTTATCCATGATTTTGCAAGGTAAGACAAGGCAGCTTATTAAAACAAAAAAGATCAAAAAAAGTATAACTTTAGAACATGTAGGATTCTTTCTAATCATACTTGATGAGGAGACGTAGGAGTTTAAAAACCTGCATTTTAAATCTATTGAGTTGAGCCAATAAATGTTGTCATTTTTCCTCCACTTTTTCTGTTTTCATTGACGGCTAACAACATTTAGCATAAATCATCCTGCTGCTCCATATAGTGTTATATAAGCTTCATTTTGGCTGCTAATTGCCTAGTTACATTCTTTCCATACAGACAGTTCTCCTACGTTCTGTCAGTGAACTCGCAGGGGATGGTGGCTGGTGGTTTAGTTAAACAAGTATAACAGGCTTGCGCTAGACACAGTAACATGTTTCATCTTCAGGTGGAATATGCTGAGCAGCAAGAGCCTGATCAAAGAAAAAGAGCCTAGGGCTTGTAAGACTTTTCATGCATCTTTCACTCCGTTTTTTAAGGTCTTTGGTAGAAAGTTTAAAGCAGTTAATAGTAAGAGGTAAAATTAATAGTGGCCAGACAGCTTTAATACTTTTAAAAGCTGTTTTTCGATTGGTTGGTTTGAATCAGAGCACTTCTTTTCACTTTGTAGTGTGACTCTTTATGAAAATATTAGTTGACAGAATCCCTTCCAGTGCTTTTGTACAAAAATGTAACTAATGTACTAATGCAAGACTCATTGGGAGTTATTTACTAAAACTGGAGGGTGCAAAATCTGGTGCAACTCTACATAGAAACCAATCAGCTTCCAGGTTTTATTGTCAAAGTTTAACTGAACAAGTTGGAATGAGAAGCTGATTGACTGTCATGTACAGCTGCACCAGATTCTGAGTGGTCCAGATTTAGTAAATCTACCTGGTAGTCTAAGCCTGGGTTACCGGGAAACCCGTGATCTGTGCACGATTCCTGCTCTGCTGTCACAACACACTGCAATTGTGATCTGCAGCGGATGTCATTGCTAAGTCAATAACACCCAGGGGCGGGCTGACCATTTGGAAACTTGGGCACTGCCCGAGGGCCCAGGGTCAGTAGGGGGCCCCATGAGATGCCCTTGGTACCTTTTTCATAGGCTTTTTTGAGTTTGGGCAAGGACACAGGGGCCCCATGATCCCCTATTGCCCGGGGGCCCCATGAGTTGTCAGTCCGCCCCTGATAACACCCCAAATTCAGGTAGCAAACGCATAGCGTCTGCCTGCACTGGATCGCATAGTAGAAAAGTACCATGCAATCTGGTTGCAGTACGTTTACAAAACTAGTGCATGCGCTGCTTTTGTTGAGTTGCAGATTGTGAGTGCTCCAGATTTAGTAAATCTACCCCGGTAGTCTAAGCCTGGGTTACCGGGAAACCCGTGATCTGTGCACGATTCCTGCACTGCTTTCACAACACACTGCAATTGGGATTTGCAGCGGATGTCATTGCTAAGTCAATAACACCCCAAATTCAGGTAGCAAATGCATAGCGTCTGCCTGCACTGGATCACATAGTACAAAAGTACCATGCAATCTGGTTGCAGTACGTTTACAAGAGTAGTGCATGCACTGGTTTTGTTGAGTTGCAGATTGTGAATGCTCCAGATTTAGTAAATCTACCTAGTAGTCTAAGCCTGGGTTCACACTTATGTGGTGCGTCATATCGCTTGTTATTCGCACAGGAACCATATCACATTCCTGTGCAAATCACATGAGAATTCTGTATGGCTCAAATCGCACCAAAAAGGTGCAGGACCCTTTTTTTTGGTCCGCACTAGAATCGGATTGCATTGGTATTCACATCCATGCAATCAGATTGTCCACATCGCACCTCGTTTTGCAAACTGATTTCAGGGTATTGTTAACTTAACATACACACCCGCAGTGGTTTGCATGAATGGGGTGTGATTGTGATGCGGTGCACAGAAACCAGTGCGAATTCTGCACCACATCACTGTGAACCCAGGCTTAAGCAACTAGGTCTTTGCCATCAGAATGATTCTGACTGCTGAGCAGTGAAAAAAAGGAAAATCTAGTTGCTATTAGTCACATTGGTCATCTTTTCTCTGCTCTATATTCTCAAAATACATCTTTATGACTGAGGTATTCCTCTAGAATTAATTGATCAATAACCTGTAACCAGTAATATATAAATGCAGATATATACTGTGATGTATTCATGTATACACAAAGAGAGAGAGATTGAGAGATCAATATCTATCTCTCTGTTTCTCTTTCTATTCCTATTTTTCTTTTTCCACGTTAGTTGCTTTGCGGTGCCCACTTGTAGCTTACTACCTTATTTAGTGATCCTTAAATGTTTTGTATTGTTGGAGAAATACTGTATGTATACCACAACTGAAGCTCTATCTAGACCAGGGGTGGGCAACTGTGGCCCTCCAGCTGTTGGTGAACTACAAGTCCCATCATGCCTCTGCCTTTGGGAGTCATGCTTGTAACTGTCAGTTTTGCAATGCCTCATGGGACTTGTAGCTCTACAACAGCTGGAGGGCCACAGTTGCCCACCCCTGGTCTAGAATATGCACATTAAGGCTAGGTTCACACCGGAACGGGTGCGGGAAACCCGTGATCTGTGCACGATTCATGCTCTGCTGTCACAACACACTGCAATTGTGATCTGCAGCGGATGTCATTGCGAAGTCAATAACACCCCAAATTCAGGTAGCACACGTATAGCGTTTGCCTGCACTGGATCACGTAATACAAAAGTACCATGCAATCCGGTTGCAGTACGTTTACAACGGTAGTGCATGCACTGCTTTTGTTGAGTTGCAGTGTGATTTGAATGGGCTCAAATTGCACTGCACCGTATCGCATGTAAATTGCAGAGGAATGCACATAGTGTGATCAGGGGCTTAGTGTTTATACACTCAACGGCCACTTTATTAGGTACACCTTGCTAGTGCCAAGAAAATATCCCCCACACCATTACACCACCAGCCTGAACCATTGATACAAGGCAGGATGGATCCATGCTTTCATGTTGTTTACGCCAAATTCTGACCCTACCATCTGAATGTCTCAGCAACCAGTCTGCCCATTCTCCTCTGACCTCTGACATTAACAAGACATTTTCGTCCACACTACTGGATATTGTCTCTTTTTCGGACCATTCTCTGTAAACTCTAGAGATGGTTGTGTGTGAAAATCCCATCTGGCACCAACAACCATGCCATGTTCAAAGTCACTTATATCCCCTTTCTTCCCCATTCTGATGCTCAGTTTGAACTTCGGCAAGTTGTCTTCACCATGTCTACATGCCTAAATGCATCAAGTAGCTTCCATGTGATTGGCTGATTAGCAATTTTTGTTACCAAGCTATTGAATGGGTGCACCTAATAAAGTGGCCGGTGAGTGAATTCTAAATTGGCAGTAGAACCAATTCAAAATAAGTTCTCATTCAACTTTTGTAGCTATAACATTGTGGAAATTCATCCCCTTTGTGTGGAAATGTCCCCTTTATTTTCTATGAAAGCCGACTAATGACAGCCTGACGGACTTCTAGTGTAAACACACAAGTGCTGTAAGCTGTTAAAGTGTTACTAAACCCACAACAGTAAAATCAGTCTGTAAATGCAGTGAAGCATGCTTGTTATACTCACTGAGGAATCTAAGGGGTTAATCCTCTGCATTGTGTAAAAAAGATCTTTGATCCTGTCTTCTCTGATCCTCCCCTTCTTCTTCTGTCCCTAATCCATCTGCTGATAGAACATAGCATTGGGAGCAAGCTGCACATGCTGAGTTTGGTCTGTATTGCTAGACAGTTTTTTTTTTTATTGGGAGAGTGCATGTGATCAACACAAAGCCAATCGGCACTAACCAGACAGAGGGTCAGGGGTCATGCAGCCTTATAGGACAATCAGATAAGAATGAAAACTCCTCCTACAAACTTTAACCAGTGCTCTGCTGGACACTGAT